CTGGCTCTGTGTTCCTGGCGATTGCAGCTCTTCTGCCTCCGTTTCGATCTTGGCTTCCCTTGCCACATCTTCTTTTGCAGGTGGGCATCTCCAAAGTGTTTGCCGAGGTGTTGCCTTCGCACAAAGTGGCCAAAGTGAAGCAGCTGCAGGACGAAGGGAAGCGGGTGGCCATGGTGGGCGATGGGATCAACGACTCACCAGCTCTCGCCATGGCCAGCGTGGGCATCGCCATCGGCACCGGCACCGACGTGGCCATCGAGGCGGCCGACGTGGTCTTGATCAGGGTGAGTCACGCGGAGACGGATAAGCTACTGTCCTTGCATTTAAAAAACTATAGAGACCAACTATAGAGCTCCATGGCATTCGCGTTTTAGTAAGTACCCAATGATGTATGCATCTGTTTTGCAAATGACGTGAACTAGGTTGCAAACTTCCTCTGTGCCTACGCTTTCTCCCACCCTGGACATCATTCCACAGATATATAAACCCCTCTCGCCTAGTTTCCAACAGACTTCACAACATCTGCCACAGATGCAGGCGAAACGTCAGGAGAGAATGCTTCTCTAACATGGCCACACAATCCGGAAAATTCACAACAACCCACTGATTCCAACCATAATGGCCTTGTACTAACGTCATTGCTTCCTTGACAGAACGATTTGCTGGATGTCGTGGCAAGTATTGATCTATCGCGGAAGACTGTCAGAAGGATACGGATCAACTTTGTCTTTGCCCTCATTTACAACCTGGTTGGCGTCCCGGTAGCTGCTGGTGCGTACCTGAATCCCTTAGTTTTATTATTTTCTTCTTCTTATTTATACCTTAACAATATTTTACTCTATTATTATTATTTCATTTTGTTATTTTATTCTATTTATTAGAATAGAATTATTTTACTTTATTATTTTACTTTATTATTACATTTACATTTTTTACTCTATTATTATTATTTCATTTTGTTATTTTACTCTATTTAATATTATTTTTGTTACATTTATTATTTTACTCTATTATTATTCTTGCGTTTATTATTTTGCTTTATTGTTACATTTACATGCTTTTACTCTATTATTTTTATTACATTTATTATTTTACTCTATTTATTATTATTATTGCATTTATTATTTTACTTTGTTACATTTACAGTATATTTTTATTACATGTATTATTTTACAATATTATTATTATTGCATTTATTATTTTACTTTATTACATTTACATTATTTTACTCTATTATTATTATTATTACATTTATTATTTTACTCTATTTATTATTGCATTTGTTATTTTATTTTATTATTACATTTACATTATTTTACTCCACTATTTTTATTACATTTATTATTTATTATTTTACTCTATTATTATTGTTACTATTGTGTTTATTTTATTGTGTTATTAATATATTTATTTTACTCCATTATGATAGTTATTATTACATTTATTATTTTATTTATTTATTTATTTATTTATTACTTCGCTTATATACCGCAATTCTCAGCCTAATGGTGACTCATTGCGGTGAGTCTATTTTACTCTATTAATTATTATTATATTTATTATTTTACTCTATTATTATTGTTACTATTGTGTTTATTTTATTACATTTATTTTACTCTATTATTTTTATTACATTTATTATTTTACTCTATTTATTATTATTATATTTATTATTTTACTTTATTATTACATTTACATTATTTTATTATTATTTCATTTATTATTTTGCTTTATTATTTTGCTTTATTATTATTATTATTATTATTATTATTATTATTATTATTATTATTACATTTATTTCATTTTACTTCTCCCGGGGCGGCTTACATGAGGCCAAAGCCAACACCATATTACAATAAAATAAAACCAAAACACAATAACAACACAGTAAAATACATACAACAAACGAATACAAAAAAAAAAAACCCACGAAAAACCCACGATAAAGCAAAATCATACACAATATAATAGCAATGAGCGGTAGGGCTGGGTAACCATAGAAAAATTTGTTTCTAAACTCGATTCGTTTCCAGGGGGCGCTAGCGTTTCCAAATTCTAAATACTTCCGAAATTTTGAGATTTCAAAATTTCGTTATTTACGAAATTTCGTTAATTTCGAATCGATTCGTTAATGGCGGACGCGATTGCGCAATATGCTAAAAAACCTCCAAATGGGACAGGGGGAACTTCTGAAGCTTCCCTCTCCCTCTGTTGTTGACTGTTGGTGTGATAAAACAAACAACAACTATATTATATTATATTATATTATTTATATTATATTATATTATATTATTGTATATTATATTATAATATATTATATTATATATATTATATTATATATTATTATATATTATATTATATTATTATAATATTATTATATTATATTATTGTATATTATATTATTATAATATATTGTATTATATATTATATATTATTATATTATTGTATATTATATTATTATAATATATTGTATTATGTATTATATATTATATATTATTATATTGTATATTATATTATATATATATATTACAAAATATATTTTGAAATAATAACAAAATAATTACGAAATAAATTGAAAAAAATGTTTCGAATCTAATTTACTCCTCACACTATTCCAAAATGGCTCAATATCGTATTGTAAGCTAATTTAAATCCGAATTAATAACGAATTACGAAATTAACGAACGAAACCGCCCAGCCCTAATGAGCGGGCCGCATGTGCAAAATAAAGACTAAAATACTAAAAATACTAAAATCAGGATGAGACAGGGATGGAGCAGATTGTGAGGGAGAAACTCATAAAGGAAGGGGGTCATAAAAACAGACCCTGATAATAGAAGACACTGTGCTTTTCATACATTCTCTGGAGTTCCTTTGAGCTGTCCCCAATTTCTCTCCCAGGCGTCTTCCTTCCCATCGGTTTGGTGCTGCAGCCTTGGATGGGATCGGCGGCAATGGCAGCCTCCTCCGTTTCTGTGGTCCTCTCTTCCCTGATGCTCAGACTGTAAGTACGATACAGGGAAACATTCCTAGTATTCCTACTACTAATAATAATCTATATAAATAAAAATGTATGTTCGTTTGTGGTATTCACAGAACTCAAAAACCCCTGGATGAATTGGCACCAAATTTGGACACGATACACCTAACAACCCAATATATGTTCTCCACTCAAAAAACCCACGAAAACAAAAAGCAGAAAGGACTTCTGAACTACATGTTCACAAAGGAGAAACTGCATGTCTACGAAGAGACCCATGGCCACGCCCCCTCCTCCTCCTCCGCGCGGGGAAACAGCCGGCCGTTAAAGCCTGGTGCGCATGCATGGCCCCACACACACACACACACACAAGCGAGAGTGGGCACCATGGGAGTGGAGGGGGAGGCTTGCCGCATGGAGCCCCTTCTCTTTCCCTGCTCTGCCAGGAGGGCGCGGCGGTCTCCTCCTTCTCCACCTTTCCCTGTTGGAAGAAGCCGGCGGGTGGGGGAGGGACTTTCTGTAGACCTGAAGGCGAAGGAAATGAAGAAAGGGAAGAAGGAGGAAAGGGAGGGAGGGAGGAAGGAAAAGAAGGAAGGGAAGGAGGGAAAGAAGGAAAGGAAGGAGAAGGAAGGAAGAAAAGGAAAGGAAGGAAAGGGAGGAAAGAAGGGAAGGGAGGGAGAGAAGGAAGGTCCTTCATTCAAGCATCGTGGACCTTCCTCTCCTCCTCCCCCTCCCCCTCCTCCCCCTCCCCTTCCTTGCGTGGAGCACTCAGTTGCTGCTGCTGACACTTTCCAACAGGGAAAGGAGGAGGAGACTTCTCTCCTGACATAGGAGGGGAAGAGAAGGAGCTCCATGCAGCAAGCCTCCACCTCCACTCCACTCACTTGTGTGTGTGTGTGTGGCCGTGCACGTGCGCCTGGCTTTAACTGCCGACTATTTCCCCACAAGGAGGAGGAGGGGGCGTGGCCATGGGTCTCGGTAGACATGCAGTTTCTCCTTTGTGGACATGCAGTTTAGAAGTCCTTTCTGCTTTTGGTTTTCATTGGTTTTTTTTTGAGTGGAGAACATACATTGGGTTGTTAGGGACATAGTGTCCAAATTTGGTGTCAATTGCCCCAGTGGTTTCTGAGTTCTGTGAATAGCACAAACGAACATTACATTTTTATTTATATAGATTGTGTAGTGGTATATGTGTGTGTGTGTGTGTGTGTGTATGTGTGTGTGTGTGTATATATATATATATATGTATATATAGTTGCAACCCAGATCAGGAAACAAGACCATAAGGTATTAATCCACCACACTTGACTGTAGGAAAAAACAATCCGTTTTTATTGATGAAAAAGTTACAAAATAGAGGAAAATACAAAGTCCAAAAAGCCACAGTAAAATTCAGCAGTCAGGAATATCTATGAACTAGATCAAAATTCCAAAAGCAACACTATAAAAACCTGGAACCTGTTAGCATCTCACTAACCGTACTTGGAAACTAGAAGCCTCTGGGAATGCAGGCCATGGGAACCAGGAAATCTGCCAAGGTAATGCCTCAGTCTAAACGATGCTTGGTCTAACGAGAGAGCCCGGGGAGAGACACTTAAGAACTAAAGAAATTGTTTCGGGACACACCTCCAGGCTTTGAAGCCTGTGCCTCCCTTTCCTTTAATCTGCTTGACCTTCGCAGACTCTGCGATTCACTCCTGTTTTTCCAAATCTGTCCTTTTCTATCCTCATTTAAAAAGGCAGGTGCTATCACCGCTTGATTCAGAAACATTCCCATCAAGATGCGTAGTTTCACTTTCCAAGCCACTGACCTCAGAATCAACAGTTTCCAAACCATCAGGGACAAATTCATGTTCAGTAGCCTGTTCAGTTGCATCAGGAAATACAATGAGAGAATCAGGTTCAGATTCACACAGAGGCTGAACCCTAACATATATATCTATATATATGCATTTGAAAGGGGCGTCAAACGGACAGCAAAACTCAAAAAACCCCCAACGAAAATTAACCAAAATTCCCATGCACCTACCACAACCCACAAGGTAGAAACATATCTAATCAAAATAAACAAAACAACACAACAACACACTCACAAAAGGACAAAACAACTGAGCATGCACAATGGCGCAAAGTCCCCGGCGCGTGCGCGCACATGGCCGAATGGCCAATGCACCCTCCGCACCTCCCTCCCTCGCCCCGCCCAGCACGAACACGTCACCTCACTCCCCCGCGGCACACACACACACACACACGCCACAAGACGTCACCTCACTCCCCTGCGGCACACACACACGCCACAAGACGTCACCTCACTCCCCCGCGGCACACACACGCCACAACACGTCACCTCACTCCCCCGTGGCACACACACACACGCCACAACACGTCACCTCACTCCCCCGCGGCACACACACACACACGCCACAACACGTCACCTCACTCCCCCTCGGCACACACACACACACACGCCAAACATGCCCCAATCTTACCTCCTCCTTCTTCTTCCCCAATCTTACCTCCTCCCTCTCCTTTTTCTTCCCCTCCAAGCCCCGCCCCCCTTCCCGTAGAGAAAGGGAGGGAAGGAAAGAAGGAAAGAGAGAAGGAAGGAAAAAAAGAGACAGCAGAAGAGAAAGAAAAAGGGGGAGGGAGGAAAGAGATAGAAAAGGAAAGACGGGAAGGAAGGAAAGAAGGAAGAAAGAGAAAGGGAGGTAAAGAAAAAGGGGGGAGGAAGGAAAGTAAGAGAAAGAAGGAAGAAGAAAAGGAAAGATGGAGGAAAGATAAGAGAGACAGCAGAAGAGAAAGAAAAAGAGGGAAGGAAGGAAAGAGGTAGAGAAGGAAGAAATGAGAGACAGAGGAAGGAAAGAAAAAAGGGAGGAGGGAGGAAGAAAAAAGGAAGAAGGAAAGAGGAGGAAGAAGGAAGAGAAAGAAAAGGGGGGAAGGAAAGAGAGAAAGGAGAAAGAGAGACAGCAGAAGAGAAAGAAAAAGGGGAAGGAAGGAAAGAGATAAGAGAAGGAAGCGGAGAAGGAAAGATGGGAAGGAAGGAAGGAAGGAAGGAAGGAAGGAAGGAAGGAAGGAAGGAAGGAAGGAAGGAAGGAAGGAAGGAGGGAAGAGGAGAGAAAGAGGAAGGTTGGCCACAGAAATAAAAAGTGAAAGAAGGAAACATGGAGGGAAGAAAGGAGGCAAAGGAAGAAAGGGGGTGGGAATGAAGGAAATAGAGAAGGTACCTCTCTTTCATAATAGACCAGATAGCTACCTCTACTATGAAAAGATTTACTATAGGCAACAGTAATGTGTGGCAGGGTACAGCTAGTATATATATTCTTTAATAATCCGTTTTGCTATTTTTCTTGGACTGGGGTGTATATTAAGTCCAAAGGTGCCTCCCAGCCTTGGAGTGCACACTTAGTTTGTTCTCCTCTCGAAACGTTGTTTCTTCGCCCCCTCCTGCCTAGGTATCGGAAGCCCACCTCGGAGGAGTACGAGCACCGTGCCCGGGGCCAGGCGAGGCAGAAGAGCCCCTCGGAGGTCAGCGTCCATATCGGGATCGACGAGAGCGGGCCAGAGTCGCCCAAACTGACCCTCATGGACCGCATCCTCAACTACAGCCGGAGCTCCATCAACTCCCTCCTGTCGGACAAACGCTCGCGCAGCAGCATCGTCCTCAGCGACCCGGACAAGCACTCGCTCCTCGTCGGGGAGGAAGACGACACGACGCTCTGATGGAGAAAAGGGGGCGGCGGTGGGGGGCAGGCTTCTCATTCTGGAGGTTGACTTGGCTGGACCTGGAACCAAGTTCGAACGCTCTTTGGGTTCCCATTGCTCGTTGGAATAGGACGCGGGGGATTCCTTGGGTTCGAGAGAGGCGTGTAGGTAGTTCTTGCACTGTTTTGCCAGTATTCGGAAGCCGGAAAAGGAGGGAGAATCATGCACTGGAAGCCAAACGGAGCAGTGATGCCACGCTGTGCTTCGAGTGGGTCTGAGGACCGCCTTTGGGATCAAGAAAGGGTTTCCAAGGCCTTTCTTTGCAAGCTGCGTGGCATTTATTGTCGGCTGGCAACCATGACGCTTTCCGTCTTTTTTTTAATAATTTGCAAAACGGATGTGCCTTATCGCTTAACGTTCAGGATTTCCCTTCTTCCTCGAGGGTAAATTGCGAAAGCGGCATTCTCCCATCGGAATGTAGTCTTTTCTGGGGTCCGGAATGTGGTCTTTTCCGTGTCCCTAATGTAGTTTTTTCCGTGTCCTGGAATGTAGTCTTTTCCGTGGCCCGGAATGTGGTCTTTTCCATGTCCTGGAAAGTAGTTTTTTCTGTGTCCCGAAAAGTAGTCTTTTCTGTGTCCCGGAAAGTAGTCTTTTCCGTGGCCCGGAAAGTAGTCTTTTCCATGGCCCGGAAAGTAGTCTTTTCCGTGTCCCGGAATGTGGACTTTGGCGTGGCCTATGAAGTAGTCGTTTCCGTGACCAGAATGTAGTCTTTTCCATGGCCCGGAATGTGGACTTTTCCGTGTCCCGGAAAGTAGTCTTTTCCGTGTCCCGGAATGTAGGTTTTTTTTCTTGGCCCGGAATGTGGATCTTTCCGTGGCCCGGAATGTAGTCTTTTCCGTGTCCCGGAATGTGGTCTTTTCCGTGGCCCTTTATTTATGCCCCTTTCCCTTTGGCCCGACTGACCATTGCTACACTCCTCTGCTCTCGGAAATGGGCTCTCCATTCATTCTTGGTGAGTTTTGGGGCCACGACCCACACTGCTTTCGTGAGTTGAAGCTGTGCCTCTTTGCAACTCCCGATCACGTAATTGTAACTCAGTGGTCAAGAGACCTTCGTTAGAGACAAATTATCTGCTGCAGAAGAAGTTGGGAATGTCCTTATATGCAAGGCTTTCTCTCTTTCCTCACTTCCAGGCAAAAAATAATATCGTCACTAGGTTGCTGTGAGTTTTCCGGTCTGTCTGGTCGTGTTCCAGAAGCATTCTCTCCTGACGTTTCACCCACATTTAGGACAGGCATCCTCAAGAGGTTATAAGGTTTATGTCCAGGGTGGCAGAAAGAATTACATTGAGGCAATTGATCACCTTGATTCGCATTGAATAGCCTTGCAGCTCCAAGGCTTGGCTTCTTCCTGCCTGGAGGAATTCCGCCCTCCTCATCTCGCAGAGGACTCAGGGTGGATTAAAATGTATATATAAATGAATAAATATAAATAAATAAATAAATAATATAAATGATAAAAATGAAAGTCCAGACGGAAAGACTCAGCAGTTAGATAGGAGATTTACGTTCTGTCAACATAGAGCTTCTCAGGAGAGTGTATGAAGATCAACGCCATAGACACACAGCATATATATATAGACAGACACACAGAGGCAATTTAACAGTCCAGCTTTTCTTGAAGGTATTCTGGCCACCAGGGGAGCTGTTGTGACACTGATGAAGTATTTCCTCATTCTTTGCAGGCTAGCTGGAGATTTTTATGGCATTGTAAATTGGTTAAGTTTTTTTTGGTTTGATTTGGTATCCATAACAGCAAAGGCTCAGCTGTCACGGATTCCTGTCCGTAACAGGACCACATTTATTTATTTTTTTACAATATTTATTTTCCACCATTCTCACCCTGCAGAGGACTCAGGGTGGATTGCAATGTACATATACATGGCAAACATTCAATGCCATAGACACACAACGTATATAGACAGATACTCAGAGGCTATTTAACATTCCAGCTTCTGGTCACCAGGGGAGCTGTCCCTTCACCGACCATTTGTGGCAATGAGGAAGTGCTTCCTCATTCTTTGCATACTTCCTGGAGATCTTTATGGCCTCGTAAATTAGTTAAGTTAAATTTCCTACTTGACAGATGCAACTGTCTTTTGGGCTGCAAAGGTTGACAACAAGCTTCACAAATTGGTTCAATGCTATTCAATGCTAAAGAACAACACTCAGAAAACAGGAATTCCAGACAGGAAACAATCAGGGTCAGCTAACACCTCCCAACAAAGGATCCTCCCAGGCAGGAAGCAGCCAAGCCTTGAAGCTGCAAGGCTATTCAGTGCAAACAACAGGGACTCAAAGGGCGAAGGCAAGGCAATGCCTCAGGGATAGAGTGGCCCAGCAAGAAGTGCCCAGAAGCGGAAGAGAAACATGGAAATTTAAGGGGAAATGCAGGAGTAAAAGAGGGGCGTCGGATAAGAATGTCAGATAAGACAGAAAGTCGGATAAGTGAAGGTTGGATGAGACTCTATTGTACCTCATCAGCTCTAATATGGTTTTCTGTGAGCGAGCAGATGGCAACTACCTTATGGTATATGTTCTGTATTAGAAACTAGAGTTGATGTGGTCTCTCCAATGCAGTTTTCTGAATCAGCACTCCAAATAACCAAACTGAATTTGAAGTTGACCAAACTAGTACTAGTGTTGGAGAATGGTCCCTGGTCAAAGTGGTCCCTGGTCAAAAAAAAAGTTCAGGAATCACTGTGTTAGAGGCTGGAATGGACTCTATTGGTTCAAACTGGGAGTAATGGTGGTTGCCCTCTGAAATGAGTGTCTGGGTTTGAACGGCCTACCAGAACAACCTCCATGATCTCAGCCCCGAATGCCCATGGATGTCCCCCCTGACGGCTCAATGAAATCTTGGTTCATCGAGAATGAATCTCGGAGCTGCTTTATCCCATTTTCTTCCTAGGTGGGAAAAACTTCCCTTTCTAAAGGTCTGTTTCAGCTTTACGAACAAACAAAAGCAAACGTGGTCATGTTTACCGGACACGCAACAGGACATGTTGGAACGTAATCAGTGAAGCATCCCTCCTTTTGATCTGCTGAATAGAGAAATGTAATGTGACGGAATTGTATGGCACGGCGATGTTCTGAAATATCTACTTAATTCAGGAAATCCTTTCCCCCTGAATGTTCTCCCTTTTCTAGTTAGATGTCATTTTGCAGTCTTTTTGGAATAACCTTGTGAATAATGTTTTATACTCGGCTTTAATTCAAGGAAACCAAAACGGCCCTTCTGCCTCAAACGCTTGGTGACTGCGATTACGCGCAACTGCCATTTGGTCTGAAGGGTGCGCCTCCCTTTTCTTGGGCACTTTGTTGTCATGAATGTGAAGTTATAAACCAGCTTTAAGACCTGACTTATAGAAAAAGCTATGCAGTGTGTTTCACTTTATTTATTTGTTACACTCTTCACTAGACTTCATATTTTCTTTCCGTTCCCTCTTGGTTTCTTGTCAAAAACCTGGCAAACTCTTGAGCTCCTAGATTCATGCGGAAAAGGAGTGTGGAAACATGATGATGATGGTGACGATGGTGATGATGATGATCTCTTGTGTGCCAAAAGGGCCCAGCTGAGGGTAGGGATGCCCACTTTGTCCAAAAATACCCATGTAATTGAATTACTTCCCTCAAAGGGATGCAGCCTAGAGATGAATGCGTTTTGCTTTCTTCCAAATCGTCACAGGACATTCCTTTCCAGAGACCCATCATTTACTGATATGTCCCATCAATTTGCAATGATTTCAGTAAATATCATTATTTATTTAAAAAATGTGTCCCATCAATTTGCAACCCACAATTATGTGGGTCTGCATCCAACAACTTGGGTAAGCGTCCTCTTGACTGGCAGTAAATGGAGCAATATCCTGAATCAGAGGCTATAGCAGGCATGTGCAAATTTGGGGCCTCTGTGTGTTTCGGACTTCAACT